TGGAATGTCGGGTACTTTCTGTAAAATTGAAATCTTGCTGGGGGTTTTCCAGCACTCTGGTTGATTGTTCATGTTTTGCCAGGGGTGGTGGACGGGAGCACAGGGTTTGCTGTGGACAGGGCACTGGCCTCTCGGGCAGCCCGGCCCTGAGCACCTGCATTGCTTCACTGGGTGTGAGTCACCTGGAGGGGGTGGGGGGCGGTGATAACTGTCCTTTGGAAAAGGTAGCTAAATTAAGAATTATTTACACGAGATATTTCTCAAGGAGAGATTTTTAGGACTTGACTTTGCCTCTTATCTTTGCCATGGGGTTTTTGGTCTTGACAAAAAGTATTCATATTCAGGGGGGCGACGGGGGGGGGAGAAAATAAAAGAATGAATAAAAAAAATAAAAATAACAAAAAAGTATTCATATTCAATACTTTCTGATATGTAGACTTCTCTGATGAAAGAGATTGGGAAAAAAATGCAAGTCCGTTTCGAGCCATTCCACGTGTAGGAATAGGGAACTGTTTTGGGGGGAACCTCTATCGGCCTGTTCTGGGAGGAGGAGCACATCTGGACAGAGTTGAGGGAGCTCTGGATTTGGCTAAGTCGAGATGTTTGGAATTGAGTTTTCTGGGGGCAACTCTTTAGGGCTCTCTTTTTTTTCAAGTCCGTTTTTACTCCTGCAGGATGGGTCGAGTGCCTTCAGCACAAGCTTGGCTTCATACAAGTGACTTTTATTGTCATACATCTTTTAATAAGCACTAATGACTAACGAGACTTTTCAAAAAAAATCCAACTCTGCTTCTGTTAAGTATGTAGTTATGCTCCTAATATATATATATCTTAAGTTTCTTAGCAGTACTGAGGTTTGAACGCAAGGATGTGTACTTGCTAGGAAAGCACTCTATGGCTTGACACATGCCTTTAGTCCCTTTTGATCTGGTTAAATATGTTTTTTTGTTTTTTTTTGAGGTAAGTACTTACTTCTTGTCCAGGCTGGCTTAGGACTGTGATCCTCCTATTGATGACAGGTTTGTTCTACCATGCCCAGCTTTTTCTGTTGAGGTAGTGGTCTCAACAAGTTTTTGCCCAAGCTGGGCTTAAACTGTGACCTTTTGATCTCTGCCTCCTGAGTAATTAGTTCTATAGGTGTGACCAACTTGCAACTGGCCTAATATTTTCGTGGGAATAAATTTGCCTCTAAATTGGCACAGAAGTCAGCAATAAGTCCTCATCATCAATCTTGAAATAACTATCAGAAACTTTCTGGCTATTTTCTGTTAATGCATTCTCCCAAGTATTTGGCTGAGCGAGGTTCACCATCTGAAGAAAGATTTGGCTTAATTAACAGGATGCAAACTAAAATTCAAGGAACTTCTAACAGGCTGTCTTAATTAAAGTGCTCAGGAAAAAGATGTATATAACTAAATTGTAATTAACAAGGGCTAAGACACACGAACCCTTCAGAAAAAGACTTCTCTCAAAATTACACTACACTTGCATAAAAAAAAACAATCCATGTATTTTTCACACTAGGCAGCTGCTCTACCACTTGAACCATGCCTCCAGTACTACAGTTCAGTTCTCAACAGGCTAGTGCCTTAGTTTACTGTAAAGATCATGCAATTTCCTACCATCCTGTAAGTAAAACTTTTGTCTGGTTTGCTGCTACAAAGGTGCTTGCTTTTGTTATGTTAGGAACAACTTGAATGGAGAAAAGAACAGGATGTACCAGAGGCAACGTCAAGCAATCCATTTTCAGAAAGTACAACCAAATTTTAAAAGAATGTTCAAATATGAACAAAACTTGAGAAGAAGCATGAACTTGGAAGCAAACTAAGTAAATTAAATAAAAAATTGAAAGACCCAGGTGCTGGTGGCTCATATCTATATTTTTAGTTACTCAGGAGACATAGATCTAAGGATCACAGTTCAGAAGCCAGCCAAGGCAGGAAAGGCCTTGAGATCCTAAACTCCAGTTAACCACAAAAAGCTGGAAGTGGAGCTGTGGCTTAAGTGATAAGAGTACTAGACTTGAATGAAAAATCTCTGGGACAGGACACAGACCCTGAGTACATGTATATGTGTATACATACATACATACATTAAGATGGAGGTGTGGCTCAGGTGGTAGCACATCAGCTAATGAGCAAAAGCATCAGATACTTAGTTCAAGTCCCAGTCAAGGACAAAAAAGAAAGAGAGGGCCAGGCACCAGTGGCTCACGCCTGTAATCCTAGCTACTCGGGAGGCTGAGATCTGAAGATCGCGGTTCAAAGCCAGCCCAGGCAGGAAAGTCCCTGAAACTCTTATCTCCAATAAACCATCCTAAAAAACCAGAAGTGGCGCTGAGACTCAAGCAGTAGAGCGCTCGCCTTGAGCTGAAGTGTGCAGGGACAGCGCTCAGGCCCAGAGTTCAAGCCCATGACCGACCAAAAAAAAAAAAAAGAAAAGAAAAAGATGAAAGATGTTGTATCTTGCATGGGCATGCCAGGGAGAATAAAGATAGATACAACTGTAAGAATGATTGGACAGGATGTACTATAAGACCACAGCACACAAAGAGCAGCTTTATTTATAGGGACACACAGAAGTTGCTAACTGTTTTAGGGGCAGCAGTAGACAAGAGTAAGATACGATAAATTTGACCAAAGTAGAATGGAATTCCCCAGACTTTTTTTTTTTTTTGGTTGGTTGTGGGGCTTGAACTTGAGCTTTTCAGCTCAAGGCGAGTGCTCTACCATTTGAGCCACACCACCACTTCTGGTTTTCTGGTGGTTAATTGGAGATAAGAGTCAGACTTTTCTGCTCAGGCTGGCTTTGAACCATGATCCTCAAATGTCAGCCTCCTGAGTAGCCACTAGTGCCTGCTCCCCGACAAGTCTGACTAGGCCTGGTGGGGGGGTGAGGGGGAATGGAAGAAAATTTGCCAAAGCTTGGAAGCAAAATTGGTGTGATGGCCAATTTGTGTAGGGTTAGATAAAATCCCAGATGACATCACTGTACCCCTTCCTTGATACCTGCCGACCCTCCTCTGCATGGTAGGTCACTGTGAAGGTGACCTTGGTCTCCATCCCCGAAATCAAGGTACTGTGAGGAGCCGTGTGCAGAAAGCAGGCGAAGCCCCGTTCCCAGCAGCAGTGGGGCCTTCTCCTCCACAGGCCGTGTCCCGTCGCAGGTGCTCTGCTGCTGACACCCAGACGCCCCAGGTACGACGGACCTGCTCCACCAGGGTGGAGACCATCCCAATCTCAGTGAGTCTCGGTGCAAGCTGGCAAGCCAGACAGAGATTCCTATCTTCCATGACAGGGTTCAAATGAAACATGACAACCCTGTAAACACTGCCACCTCAACATGTCAATGCAGAACTTTCTAGAACTGGCTGGGACTTGGGAGACCAACCACACACACTGCCACTGGGCGCTGGGCAGTGTGAGGAAGCAAAGAGCCCAAGGGAACAGCAAGTCCCTGCCGGCTAGGGTGCGCATGCGTGGCTGAGCACAGAGCCCCTTTTGGTTTTAGTTAGGAAAGCCTGTGTGGATCCCAGGCATGCCCGATGATGGAAAAAAGTCCGTGCACATAGGGTACACTGACTGGAAAATGAATAATTTGTATTTTTTTTTCAGTTGGCGAATTTATAAAGTGGGAGCATGGGATAGGAAACTACTCACTGAATTGGAATTTAATCCTGACCCAATTCTCAACGCACAAAAACTGGTCAAAAAAGAACACCTACGGGGCTGGGAAGGTGGCTCAGTGGTAGAGCGCTTGCCTTGCATGCATGAGGCCCTGGGTTCGATTCCTCAGCACCACATAAGCAGAAAAAGCCGGAAGTGGCGCTGTGGCTCAAGTAGAAGAGCACTAGCCTTGAGCTGAAGAGCTGAGGGACAGCGCCCAGGCCCATAGTTCAGGCCCCACGACCGGACACCCCCCCCAAAACAAAACAAAACAAACAAAAAAAAACACCTACAATTCTAGCTACTTAGGCTGAGGATCACAGTTCAAAGCCAGCTCAGGTAAACCAACTCAAGACACTCATCTCCAATTAACCACCTCCACCCCCTCAAGAAAAAAAAAGCTGGAAGTAGAGCTGTGGCTCAAGTGGTAGAGCACCAGCCTTGAGCAAAAAAAGCTCAGGGACAGCAGGTAAGCCCTGAGTTGAAGCTTCAGTATTGGAAATTAGAAATGGAGACCACGGCCTACGAAGGAACACGTTTTTCTCCATTTGGAAGGAATAGTTGTGTAAGAACATTTTACTTGGGGGCACAGAAATGGAGGAACAAAGGGTGACCAAATATAGTAGTGGTGTTCACTAGACACTGTGCTGACAATGAACTATACAACTGATAGGTAGGGTTGGAGGGAAAAACTGGGACAGAGTGACAGAAGGGGAGGACCCTGTCCAATAAGACATGTACTCGTTACTTGTCTTACCTAACTGTAATCCCTCTATCATCTTTATAATAATAAAAAATTAAAAAACCCCTTTTACTTTGGATTTATTTTTATGCTGGCAGTAGGTACATGTCAGTGTATGAGTACAATGCACCACCTCGTTCACCGATCTCTCAATCCTATGGGACCCTGAGCAGGGGGTGTGAACTAAGCTCCAACTGTGAGTGACAGCGGTTTCACCTGGACACCATGTGGCAGCACAGGCGAGGCCCTGGGCTGCAGCGGCCCGCTGTCACGCGCCTGGTGAATGACCATTGTATGAGGCTCTCCTCCACCCCTGAAATGCTTTTCCAGTGGTTTTCATCGGAGTTACCATAACAATAGTTACTTATTTATTTCTCCTAATAATCGGGGTTCAGCATTTTCTGAACCAACCCGATCATCAAGTTAGCTGTAGTTTCAATTAGTCCTGAGGCAAGTTAAGTAACTGGAATAGCTCTTTGCAGTCCCGAAGAAATGACAAATGAAACCCATCCGCCACTTTTATTATTCTGCATCATTTATTAAATATTTTTATATATGCATTTACAAACTTGACTCTCAGTTCAGAAATCTGCTATGGATACGTGTTGAAGCTTTTTTTATTTTTATTTTTTTTTGCAGAGAGGCTCTGGAGTAAAATGAGACCCAGGTACAAAACTAGGTAGCAAAGTTCCCTCATCCCTCTCATCCATCCAGACAAGAACTCAGGTGATGAAGGAATAAAGCCAAAGCGCGGCTCTTTCACAAGAGGTCATGTATGTCAGTGTTCAGTGTTCAAGTACGGATTCTCAGAGGACAGCTCCAATCTCAACTTCACATGGATGCACAGAGTTTTCATCCTTCGCCGCGGTAGCCAGATGGTTCCGATGAAGGAGAATACAACTCTACTGTTTGGACTAAAGAACCTGGAAACCACCATCGGTGTTACCTCATTTCCTCAGAACATGGCATCTAAATTCACCCTGGACGTGATATTGGGTTGGCCAACAAATTCTCAGTTATCTCAAACAATACTTAAAAGGTTCCCTTTAAAAAAAGAGTTCACTAAATTCTTCACAAGCTAAAGTGTGAGCCTCTAATATGGCTCTTACTTAAAGATGTAGTTTAAATGATAGATTTAGAAGCTTAAAAGTATCCTTGAAACTAAGGTTGTTTTTCTTTAAAATGAATGTTGATTGTACAGTTTCTAGACTTGGCGCATGTCACTAAGAGACAGAGGCACGGATGCTACTAGCAAGGAGAAAAAGCGTCACCATAGGATAATTACATGGTATGGGATGCCCAAGGGCCTGAAACTCACTCTTAATATAATTCTGGCAGCAGCATCATTCGATATTTAACCATTTATTACATAGTATTCACACACCAGCTTCAAAGATGGACACTCCCTTATTAGGGTATGCGGGAGTTACAAATTTGTCGTGATTACATAATTCGTATTGCACAGTTTTATATATATGTATATATATAAATGACATAAATACTGGCTATACTAGTTTTTTAAATACAAAATACATGTCGTATACTTTTAAGTCAATAATCTGGTTCAAGTGCAAATCAGGTGCTTTCTTTAGTCCTTCCAAGAAAGGCATTTTTTAAAATATATATATATATATATATATATTTTGGCACAAATGAAAAGTCATCATGCCAACAAATCTACTTACAATACATATATCCAAACCTTCAGAGTAGCAATCATATACATATGGTAGAAAAACTGAGTATTTACAAATGTACTAAGTGTGGACGCAACCTCAGTGGCTGAAATCAGAAGTGATTAGCCGCACCCGCACCGCTGATAACTGAAAAGGGTAAATACCACTCCTGTAGCGCATCTGCTTAGGCCGGCTGCTGGGGGTTGACATTCATGTGAGGAGGATGTCCTAGAAGGCCAATTCTTTGTTTCTGCTTCCTCTGTTCTGTCATCTGGAAAGTTAAAAAGTTTCATCATGAGACCTAGATACTTCCTGTGCGTCAGCTCATATGCTGAACCATAGATTGACTAAACTCTGTGGTTAGAGTTGGTACTGAAACCCACTTTCTACAAATACGAGTCCTGTCACCATCTCAAACACACAGAACTTCCAACACAGGGTCTTCCTAAGCGGGATGGGGGATTCTGTGGCCTCTTCATGCAACGTGACATTCAGAAGTACCGCTGCTACTTGTTTCATAACGAAACAACGGAACAGGACAAGCACGGGGATTCTTCATTGTTTCCCCAAACCATTTCCAAATGACCCATTGGAAAATGGTGGCTCAGGAGGAAAAGTGTCCACACGGCCTGCTATCAGGAAAGCTGTGTGTTTAGAAGAGATTGTGCCCACTTAGGAGCTCGGGCTGCTTCCTGCCAGTGCTGCTTTGATGGGTGGTTAGATAGGGGGAAAAAAAAAACCATCTAGTTCTCTATTTTTATTGATCTTCCTTGTGCGATCCTGGGGCTTGAACTCAGGCACTCTACCACTTGAGTCACAGCTCTACTTCTGGCTTTTTGGTGGGTGATTGGAGGCAAGAGTCTCACATACTTTCCCGCCTGGTCTGGCTTTGACCAGTGATCCTCAGAGCTCTCAGCCTCCTGTGTAACTAGGACTCCAGATGTGAGCCACTGGTGCTGGGTACCCCGTGCCCCCCGTGGAATCTAAGAAGTCTCCATTACACCTCCCCAAGGTCCAGAATGACTAGATGCTGTACACGATGTGCTGGCCTCCAGTGCTGCCTGTTCCTTGCCAGCCATAGAGATGGAAATTTCCTGAAGGCAGGTTCTCAGAACAAGTGCTTCCATAGCCCTTAGCAAGAGAGTAGTTCTTTTTTTGGCTGTGGAGCTAAGGGTGTTCTTGTATCTCTGCTCTGAGTGTTTTCTACGTATTTTAGGGTACTTAATTCCCTGCATCAAGACTTTGCTTCACTCAGTTACTCCTGGCTCTGGCTCTGAGGCTGCTATGTAAGTCAGTTAGGATAAAAAGGCTGCAGGAAGTATACAGGGGGTGAGACAGTACACAAGTGGCTAATGGTTCCTTGCCTGGAGTTCTGGTTCCCTAAACTGAGAGGAGTCAGGGCAGAGGCGTAAGAAAGAATGTGGGCTTGGGATGAGACTATTTCCTTATGGTGTGTCATTTACCGGCTCAGAGTCCGTTTCCTTATTTAGGGGCGGCACTTCCTGTCTCCTGGCTACAGCTGACAGGACCGAGGGGTGCTGCTCACTTCCACGGCAGGGAAGATGCAGACATCTCGGTTTTCACGGAAACAAGTTTTGGTTCAAAACAGTGAGAGAACCTAACACAGGAGTGACTTCTCCAGCTGCGACGCCAAGGTGGCGTGGTTTTTTTGTTTTTCTTTTTCCAAAGCCTCCACGTTCAGAAGCTATTTTGAAGCTCTGGTGAAAATGCTTTTCCTTTTGTAATGAAGACGAGAAGCTGGACAGGGGTTGACTATGTCCATAAGGAAGCTTTTCCTGAAGCGTTTCTGCAGGGACCTGTCGGAGGGCCGGCCAGCGGCCTCTGCGCCTCCCTCGCTTCCCTCGGGGAGTGGCAGGTGGCAGGGCAGTGGGAGGGAATGGGGAATAAGCCACCATGACGCTCAGGCCAGGCCCTCATTCAGCTTACTGCCATTCAGCCGAGAGCCTCCTTTTCCCCAACCCTCCATCATGAGAGTCAACGGCAGCCATCTTGAGCTTCACATCCTAGTGTAGTTCTCTCCTATCAAAGTGCACTTCTGAGCTCTCTCAACCCAAAGACTTCCCCTGTGCTTGCGCTTCCGGTAGCTCCTCGTAGTGTGAGAGGAGCTTCAATCCCCGCAGCCATCACCTGTTACCTTCTTCACCGTCCTCGCTCGACTTTTCAGGCTGTCTTTCTACCCACCATCCTGCTCCCCCCTTCCTCCCACCCCAATCCCACAGCTCCCTCCCCAGTGATGAAATTAGTGGCCCGTTCTTCGGTCCTTCATGATTTCAAGCACCTAGTACCTATTCAATTTTGCTTCTGTTTTCCCCGGAAAAAAAAAAAAAAAGGTACTTAAACTTCACCATACACTGCAGTCACCCAGAGGCTAAAGTACAGATGAATGGACTCACCAGGAGTCTGCCTTTCTAACAAGCTCCTGGATGGTGAAGATGCTGCCCGCTCGGGTCTTAGCTGTGAGGACCACTGTTCTTTGGGGGAGCTTTTCAGACCATGGTCACTGTGGATATAGTTTCATCTACTTAAGCGCTTAAAAGAAAGCATTGGGGTACACAAACCCTTTTTGTCCTATGAAAGAGGGGGGGCTGGAGAAGGCCGTCTGCAGCTGAGGATTCAAGAGGCCCAATTTGTTTGATCCCGTTTTGATTGCTTGGCCTTTAGGATGGCAGTCACGCCATTCTGGTAAAAGGAGAAGGAATTGGGCAATGTCTAAAGTATCTGTGTCCCTCTGCCATTTAGTTATCATCTGATAAGTGGTGAGGGAACAAAAACAAAACCCAAAAATTCTAAGGACAAAATCTGACCAATGAACCAAGGCCATCGCTCCTGGCTACTGAGGTTTCCATCTCTCCTGCATAGTCTCATTATTTCAGGCATTATTAGCCCAAACCTGACTGTATGTGTGAATCAGTGCACACATAGTCTATCTATTCTCTCATCCCTCCATCCATCTCTATTCATCTTACTCTAGGGCATCATTACGTCTGTTTCGATGACCTATATATCTATAATGATCAGAGCACATCCTTAGCAGAATTTCATGTAGCATTCTTTCTGGACATGTGCAACAAAATTTGACTCCGTAACAATATTCATCAGAATCATTGCATAAAGTAACTGCATTCAAAATCTGAACACTGGCACTTCCAGTTTGAGCAGGGTGAAATGTCTGCGTTGCAGTGGATTAAAAACCCTCAGAGTTCCGCTCGGCTGGGGCGGACAGTGGGTGCCACGCTGTTCTTCCTGTCTGTACACATAGCAGCTGGAGAGTCTGTAATGCCTCCTTCTGACTGCAGTCTGAACAAGAAGCAAAGAATATGTGTAGCTTTACAAATCAGATGCAGCTAAACATCCGAAAGCTCTTGCACGGAAACAGTCGGCACTGAGCACAAGTGAGCAAAATTTAATCTACTAACTCAGCCTTTAAGAGCTTATAGGCTGGTACAGAAAATAAAGTTCATCAACAGCACACAGACACCACAATATAGCTTACGAGAAACCTCACCAGGCTTTGAAAATCTGTGTTCAAGGCAGACACACAGTAAGGTCCTGGTTATTTAGATTCTAAGTCCTAAGGAAACTCTAGCAATCAGAATTATTTTACAGCCCTATAAAAGTGGTCCTGCACATAAGATGATGACCCTGAAATACTGAGAAATAAAACAAAAGCCTCTCTTGAATACAAATATGCTGACTTAATAGGAAAACATGGATATGGTTTAGACTTTTAGAGGTGTTTTCTAATGTTCTCTCCTACCTGGCGAGCCCTGAAACCAAGCTCTAGCCCTAGCACCTCTGAGAAGGTTGTAGCGTAAAGATTCAACGCGCCTTCTTCCATGTGCATGCTAACAGCCCACTCCCTTTCCTTCCTGCCCATAGGCCATGAGTGTATAACACACTATGGATTCAACTCCACTCATCTCCTCTTTACTTGTCTCCAAGTTGTAGAAGGCAGAGACTAGGTCCTCCTCGTTCTTGTATCTCCATACCTAGTGTAGTGTTTGGCAAAATGTGTGGTTTTCCAAGTGTTGGTTGAAAGGAAGAAGTGAGTTAACCAGAACATTCTGCCATTCCTTGAGCATGCCATGCATTGTCATGCCTTTGCTCATGCCAATTCCTCTCCTGGGAAGCCTCTACTGCATTTCTCCACCAGCTCAAAGGCTACCTGTTGGTGGGATTACTGGCGCATAACGACTTCCTCACTCCAAGTCTCACACTGAACCAACTGCCTACTCTCCAGATGTTGCCCTGGTATTCTTTTGTGGTCCCACCACGGGGAAAAGAATGTGAACAGCATTCGGTGAGGTCTCTCGGATATTCCACTCTCCAGTTAATGGGACCGATCACCCTCTTGCATGAAAAGTGCAACATGCTAATAGGATCTGGGTTTGTCAAGCACTTCTTTTATTCCTGGCAACAACAGATAAGGTTCGCTGTCTTACAGAAAGCCAGTCACATTTTCAAGAAAGTGAAGCCTTTGCTTGGTATTTGCTCTTTTTGCATTATAAAGGAAACATGCAAAGAAATAGTAAGTTCTTACATTAGGTCTCCTCCTTGGAATAAGGATGTAAGAGAATCACATTTTGTATTCAGAATCTCTTAGTAGAGGAAACTTGAGGATGAGATGCATCATTAGTAATTCTAACCAACTATCCCTTTTTCTTTTTGGTCAGTCGTGGGGCTTGAACTCTAGGCCTGGGCACTGTCCCTCAGCTCTTTAGTTCAAGATGAGCACTCTACCACTTTGAGCCACTTCCAGTTTTCTGGTGGTCAATTGGGAGATAAGAGTCTCATGAACTTTCCCACGTGGGATGGCTTTGAACTGCAATCCTCAGATCTCAGCCTCCTGAGTAGCTAGGATTACAGGTGTGAGCCACTGGCACCAGGCTCCTAACCAACTATTCTCGACAATTACAGAAAAAAGTGACACTGCTACCCATGTTTTTACTTATACCCTCTTCTCAAGAACTTTTTCTCCCCCAATGGGAAGTTTAAGATAACAACCACCAAAGACCTCAGTAACAGTGAGGATTAAAACTAAAGTCATCCATATTTATACAACCATTGTTCTATCACCAGTTTTGGGGGCAGAAGAAATCTACCAAATATCTAAGTAATGAAGCAATTTTTATTTTCCAGCTTTTTTTTAGACCAGTGAATGGCATTCTTTCATAAAATTGTTTTTAAAAAAATCAGTGGTTAAGAGTTTCTTGTTCGTTAATCATGTGTGGGGCTTTTTTCCCTCTAATATTTTCCCCTCCATAGGACAGGAAGCCTCACAATTACTGCTCAGATGCAGTATTTCTCTAACAGATTGGTGTGACTTGCTATATGTAACTGTTTAAGAAGTCTTTATGAGTCTTGTAACACCAGACACAATAAAACTCACATCTATTCAACAAGTTGATTCTCCAGCAAATGCACTATGTGTTAGAAGTAACACCATCTTTAAAGACGAGCACTGGCTAACTTCTTGAGTAGAACCCACCTCCCATCTCCCCTCCCCCACTCCAGCAGCTGGAGTGTAATTATCCTGTCATTCTGGGCACACTGGAACTCAACTAAATCAATCCTGGTAAAAGTGCTTGAGCATGTACTAGTGCTCTTCACACTTCTTTGTCGCCTATAATAGTTTCCAAGAAAAAAAAAAAAGGCTCAATTTAAACATCATTCACAGGGGAAGAGTTTTTCTCAGGAGTGCTTCTAACTACCAACTTTCAAACAGACAGACAGACAGATGACAAAAATATAAACAGGGCTGGAACCAAGCAGTTTAAACCATATTGATTCCAATGTGAGTAAATATATCTTAGTGCCTACTTCATCAAATTTTAAGCCAAACTCTTGGCTTAACAGGAACATGTCTACCTTGAATTTGATAAATGCTGAGCCTGTACTACGCTCTGCTGTGTGTGTGTGGGGGGGGGGGGGGGGGGCCTGGAGGCCTTGTAAGCGCATGACTTCTGAAGCGATCAAAACTTTATTTAAAAAAAAAAAAAGAGTAAGAACTTAAAAAAAAAAACTAAAAGTCAACCATGAAAGGCAAACAGTACAGTGACAAAATAACACACACCACGTGACAAAACACATGTACCACATAAAAGCAACCCCACACTGTGTGGGGGGGGGTAGGACCCCCCTGTGGTGCCGTCGTGTGAAGCTGCAAACGTTTCCTATGACCTCTGTGCATCTTCATCTAGAAAACAAGGGGTTGAGTAAGAGGGCTCTACGGTGGGGTCAAGACGGCCTCTAGCTATAGAGCTCTGTTCAGTCCCCGGATGGGGCTCACTGGTTTGCAAAGTGAGTCTTAAGGCAGTTTAAGAATCATGCTCAGAACAACTCAGCCCAAGAGACTCTGGGAGGCCAGGGATGATTTTCAACAGAGCCTGAGCTGGGCACTGCTGGCTCATGCCTGTAACCCTAGCTACTCGGGAGGCTGAGATCTGAGGACTGCGGTCCAAAGCCAGTCCAGGCAGAAAAGTCCCCAAGAGACTCTTTTCTCCAACAAACTACCAGAAAACCAGAAGTGGCGTTGTGGCTAAAAGTGGTAGAGCACTAGCCTTGAGCTGAAGGGCTCAGGGACAGAGCCCAGGCCCCACGACCCCGACGATCACCACCACCACCACCAACAAAACCCACAAAAAACCCCAAAACAACAAAAACTGGGGCTGGAGAAAGGGGCTGGCTTCGTTTTACTTCCATGCAATACCCCAAACACAGATGTTTTGGACTTATCTTGAGGAAGTGCCCAATGCTCGTCTTAACAGAGACACCCCCTCCCGAACTTCCAGATGTGCCGCTGAGCAGCACTCACGACCAATCCTGGACCGGTGTGTGGCCAGGGGCCTGCGTGAGCTGCCAGGCTACGGCTGCTGCAGTTTTGGTGTCATGGGCCAGAAGCACAGATGATTTCTCTGAAGAATGGCACCAGACTTTGTGGAGATCTGAGTAGCTCCTTAATTTAAGTCTGTTGTAGATCAGAGTCATCAGATTTTGTTTTTTTGACACCTAATTTAAAGCATCTGATGTAACCGAGCCTCTTAATACCGCAGCTAACTGAGGAAGAAGCCCAACGTGGGCCGCTCTGCAGCCTCACGGGCAGAGGCAGCCGCAGCGAGAGGCCGATGAACTCATACGTCAGTCTGGCCTGGTAGAGCATTTGTCAAACGTTTCACAGCAGGGCAAAAAAGGTAATAAGCAAACTAATCTTGTTAGATCTTTATTAGTTTTACTTATTCTGGTTATTATTCATTTTGGGTGGCTACCAAGCTCTGGGCTGTGGACAGCCTTCATCAATTAAGCCTTCTTTGCTCATTAGTCTGTTCTCGTTTGCATCTCAGGACATGTGAGAGAAAAGAATTTGAGCATCAAATGGTGTCTTAGGGCACAGTTAGGTATAATTTAGTTGGAAAATAAATATAACTCAAAAGAAGGCTTATTAAAAATGCTCTGTAAACCATCTCCAATATTGTGGAGGAGGTCTTCGGGATTGATACTGTACGCAAGAGTCATAAATCACCTGTGCGTGCACCTTGCTAAAATTTACCTCCCGGCAGGCTTGCCTGGGATCTACTGCTGAGCAAAATTTATAATCTCATCTATGGAGTTGATTATAAAGCTTCCGGAAGCTCATATAAAAATGCTGAATTGTACCCATCTGTACATGATGATCCAGTTGGCCACAGGAAGTCAAGCTCAGGTCCCACCTACCATCCTGGGCTCTAGTCCTTGACTGGGAACAGCAGCGTCCTGTTGCTAGGGAACCACCCGAGGTCTGCGGTGTGTTCATGTGAAGTGCATCGAAGGGGGATGAAATGTATCAGGTTCAGTACACACCTGCCCGCTGCCCCGCCCCAACCTCGGTCAAGGGGCACAGCCCTGGCTGTGTGGGTAGGGGTCAGGGTGAGCCTAAGTGGCCTCTCTGCAGCCTCAGACTCTGGGAAGGCAGGGACTGCCTTCTCTTACTGATGCCTGTTTCAGGCCAAGCACCAGGCCCGATGCCTCTCTTCTGGCAGCAACTCAGTACGCTTTTTGACAAGTGAATTAGGCCAAAAGGACTTTCCCCAGGACTATGGTTTATCCCTAGGATACTGAATTTTAAAAATAACCCGGTGAGATTTCAACCAATCTGAGGACGATGAAACAAGTAACTTTTAATCTCATCTGTGACTAAAGTAAAAAAGGGTCTAGCTTGATGCACTTGTGTTTTTTTCTTTTTGGTTCAGCACTTCACTGAAGTAGTTTGCATTTCCTCGCTTATTTTTGGTTTTGTTTCTCACATCCACACCGTGTCCCCAGCAACACTGAAAAGAGTCCCTGAACGGGGCGGGGGCGGGAGATGGAGGGACTGGCTGGCGGGTGGCATCTGTCCTTCTGTCCAGGTGCACACGGTCACACAAGCATGACTCATTTTTCCCTCTCGTGGGGTTTCTGTGGTGCGTGGTGGTGGTGAGTGTTTGTGCGGGGGGTGGGGGGGTGGGGGGGTAGGACTCCGCCTCTTTCTTACCTGGTCCTTCAGTTCCGACAGTTGGCCAGAGAGATTGGTGACCAGCTTCATGGTGGACTCCAGCTTCTCTTGCAGGTTCCGCAGCTCGTTTTGCTCTCCCTCCGAGTCACTGCTCACCAAGGACATGGCCCGCATCCTGGGGAACCAGTCCAGGTTCCTTTCCTGGAACCCACAGGGGAGAGCGAGGGTGAGAGTTCTTCTTTTGGTCAAGTCATGGGGCTTGAACTCTGGGCCTGGACGCTGTCCCTCAGCTCTTCAGCTCAGGGTGAGCGCTCTACCGCTTGAGCCACAGCACCACTTCCAGTTTTCTGGTGGTTCATTGGAGATCAGGGTCTCATGGACTTTCCCACCCGGACTGGCTCTGAACCGTGATCCTCAGATCTCAGCCTCGGTGTGAGCCACCGGTGCCCAGTGAGAATTATTTCTAATAGGGCAGAGGTAGGAAAGCCTTCACTGTGTGACTTTCCCAAGTGACATCCCTCATGACATGGCCTCTGTCGAGGTTACCGTTCTGTTTATTTTTTGACCATTTAACAACAATCTTTTTAGTTGTAACATAACGGAGCCCTTAATTCTTTCCCGCCCCCCGCCCCCGCCCTGGGCTATTTAGAAACATTGTCCGAAGGGGTTTCACGTCACTGAAACATGTCCACTTGTGTGTGTGGTGCATCTTGGTCAGTGTCACGCCTGCCCCCTCCTGAACGCTGGTTTTTCACAGTCCTAGGGTTTGAACTTTCAGCACCTCATCCCCCCCCCAAATTCTTAGTTCTTAGAAGAGGAACTCACTGTAAAATTAAATACAGGGGGGGAAATGGGTTTTCAAGTTAGAGTCCCAGAGCGGCAACTTTGAATACTGCCACTGCGGCTCTGACCTTTGCAAATGACTTTCATGGCTGACGAGCTCTGCCTTACGTTTGGGTGAAACAGGCAATGTGAAGGCAGCCATTTTTAGGTGCACAGTTCAGCGGTGTGTTTTTCATCTTCCCCAGTGAGGCTCCCGCCCTGTTGGGTACCCGGGGCGACCCCCATCCTGCGCTCTGTCTCCGAATCGGCCTGTGTCAGTACTCATGTGGTGTATTTTACAAAAACCCTACTCAAGATAAGCTACGTACAAATACTGGCAGTAAAACGAAGCTGAAGGCTCTGTATACTGGCATTAAGAGGTGTGTGTCTATGAGTTTGTGTGGGTGAAGGGGTTGTTAAGTGGCCAAAAATGAGGAGTGGGCTCCTTAACCGTGTCCCCAGCTTTTAGCTAGTGGACACCGGCACTCTGTCCGGGTGGATGTTGTCCACTAGTACAAGTCAGCCTTTCTGATGCCATTACTTATACATGTGAATAGTATTTCTCACTGTAAGTGAAGTCTAAGCAACAGGAGCCAGGGACAAAAAGGGATTCATTCTAGATCTGTTTGCTATCATTCTCACCTGGACCACATGGCTGGACCACACACAGAGAAAGTAGTATTGTCACGTTATGCATCTTATGAGTCAGCCACATTAGTGTATTAGTACAGTCAATATTTTCTGGAGGTAAATATTTTTGGCTTTAAGAACCATATGGTCTCTGTTACAACTATACAACTACTAGGCTAGTATATGCGCCCCCCCGCCCCCGCCTCTGCCCGGTAATATATAAGGAAATAGACGTGGAAATATTCTAATGAAGCATTTCAAAATGGCGGTGGCAGACCGGCTTTGGCCCATGGCCAGAGTTTCCCAACCTCTGCTGTTTCTAATAGAAGGCATCAGCATAGTTAACATAAAAAGCAAAAATTCCATGAGCCTAAATATCACACATCGAGTGAGATCATTCACTGTTCTGACCCAAGGCCATCGCGTCAGGTAGAAGAACCAGTTACACAAAATTTCAGAGGGCAAACCACCTTTCAGTGGGGCATCACGTGGACTTGAGAGCAACTGAGTAAGACGCCAGGAGGGTGCACCAACTACCGGGAGCTCACTGCTCCCTGGCTGATACTCAATCCCCTGAGCGGAAGGTTGGAAGGATACAGGGATGGACTCATTCCTGCATGGACCCTGATCATCTAGGCTTCAACAGTGGCCTGTGTAGTTTGCAGCCACTACTGGAGGACAAAATGCAGTTCCTATCTTCCCGAGTGGAGAGAAGCGCTTGACTGGCATGTGACTTCAAGTCTGTGCCTGTAGAGTCATGGGCAAAAAATCATTCAACAAAATAGCCCATGTTTAAGAGGCTGCCTTAGACATCTGCAGTGGGCACTGGTGAGTCAGGCCTGTCATCCTAGCTACTCAGAGGCCGAGATCTGAGGATCACAGTTCAAAGCCAGCCCGGACAGGAAAGTCCGTGAGACTCTGAACCCCAATCAACCACCAGAAAACTGGAAGTGGTGCTGTGGCTCAAATGGTAGAGTGTTCACCTTGAGCTGAAGAGCTGAGGGACAGCGCCCAGGTCCAGAGTTCAAGCTCCACGACTGACTAAATAAATAAATACAAATAAAAAAATTCTGAAGTGTTTCTTTGCTAGAGAAGTCACCAGCTCTCTACTATAAAGCCGCAGTTGACCTAGCACTGGTTAGATTCATTGTCCATCCATCTGCCCACCAAGAGAATAATATCCCCATGATCAAGAGTATGTGATGCCCAGTGTTCCAGAAGGCAGCATTGCGGAGGGGCTGACAGGGGTGAACAGCCCCTGCCACTAGGCTAACCAGCCCCTGTGAGAGGAAGAGACAATGACGACCAATCCGGCCGTCAACACTCAAAGCTTCACACCCAGGAAGGCCAAACCCAGCTGCCAGAGGCCCTAGATACCCACTGTGGACTGTCAGAAATGTCAGGGGAACACACCGAAGAGGAAAGACCAAGAAGTCCATTTGCACTGTCTGACTCTGTAGAGCCTCCGGGCACACCACCCATTAAGATATGACAGAATGTGCCCATCCACGGTCTTACCCCTGCATGCCACCTCTGTGTGCACAATGCAAGCAAACGAGGCTTCAAAAGGAAGAGTGACGTGGCCCCTGGGTAGAGGTCAGACTAATGACTACTTTCTTTTTTTTTGGCCAGTCCTGGCACTTGTACTCAGGGTCTGGGCACTGTCCCTGAGCTGGTTAGCCAAGAGCTAGCACTCTATCACTTGAGCCACAGCTCCACTTCCAGCTTTTTGGTCATAATTGGAGATAAGGGTCTCATAGACTTTCCTGCCCGGGCTGGCTTCGAACACTAATCCTCAGATCAGCCTCCTGAGTAGTTAGGATTACAGGCATGAGTCACCTACACCCAGTGAATGGCTGTTTTCTATAGGAGATCCTGAGAATTATCTAGTGCTTGCCAATTTTAAGTTATAACCGAGGATAAATGGGGATATTTAATACTTAACTTGAATTCACGTAACAAGTATAAGCCTTGAAAGTATTTTTAAAAAATGTAACAAATTTTACAGATCCTTCTGGATCTCCACATGCTTGGCTCATGGGATACAACAGAAAGATATAATGGTATCTCAATACAAGATATAAGCATGAGTCTCCAAGACAGCCCCGGAGAAATGGCTTGGATACCTAAAAGGAGACAGGGCTCCTTAGTTGAGGAGTGGAGATCTAGAAAGAAAGAAAACAAGCACGCTCCCCAGCCGTGGAGAGGACCATTAAAAGACAGAACCAACTGCCAGCAACTGGATGTGAATGGGGCAGGCCCGAGGAAGGTCAGTACTTGGTTCTGCTGGTGCCAAAGGGCGGAGGTGGAGGAAGCACTGGAGTAGCTGGAGCTGGGGGTGATATGAGGGAGACTGGCTCAGAAGTGAAAAGCATGGGGTGGGGAGGGAAAGAGAGGGAAGGGAGAGACCGGGGTGAGGATGTTCTGCTTGATCAGATTGGGGGGAGGGGTAGGAACACGGAGTTAGCAAGGAACAAGGATTCACCTGTTGGAACTTATTATTGATGTGTGAATATATGCTGCGCAGCCTAAAAATGTTAGTGAATTCATCAGAAATTTGGCTCTGCAACCTCTCCTATGTTCATTTGCTTAGCATACCCTACATAAAAATAGGAAATGCAGATTTCCAAAGGAGACTGCATGAATGAGGTCCTCAGAAAATTCCAGAAGATCCATGCGTGAGTCTGCACACAGCTTAAAGTTCAGGGAGCAGTATCGCTTCCTAATCCTAATAACAAATGACTGTATAATGACAGATAAGAATGAGAATTGCTTTCTGTGGTAGATTTCCATCTTCTTTCCTGGTGTGTGTGATTTCTACCCCTTCCTCCCAGCAAGGACTGTCTCTGAACAAACACAAAATGCAGGCTTCTTCCACTTCCTGAATGTGTATGTGTATGTGTATGAGTCTTGAACTCAGGAGACTGGGCACTGTCCCTGAATTTTTGTGCTCAACGCTAGCACTCTACCACTTGAACCACAGTTCCATTTCTGAATTTTTGGTGGTTAATTGGAGATAACCAGTCTAGTAGGCTTTCCTGCCTGGGGCTGGCTTTGAACGGTGGTTCTCAGATCTCAGCCTTCTAAGTAGCTAGGATGACAGGTGCGAGTCACCAGTGCCCTGATAGTTTCTGTGCCTAGCTTAGGGCCAAGCACCGAAGATCCAAAGAGGAGAAGGATGCGGTTCGGCCTGCAGAGTGCACTAGTTCAAGGACTATCCTATGGCCATGGTCTAGGGCAGGGCTCAGATTGTGGGCTTTGCCTCTGGAGAAGCTCTAGCTCCAAGACACGAGTTGCCAGTGAGTGCTGACTGTGCGAAAGGGGCCACTGGTCACCAAGGCCGCCACCAGCTCCCGTAGTGAAGGAGAGGACTGAAATCGACATGCTTTTCCCTTGATTTGTGTGGCTATCCGCGCACATCTGTAATCCTGGGACATGCAGGTTCCATGGGAGGAGGGCATGGGCAGCGATAATGCATCCGAGGATCCTATCTGCAGGTTTAGCCCAGGCGGAAAAGTCTGTGAGACCCTTATCTCCAAGTATTACCAAAAAGGCAGAAGTAGAGGTGTGGCTCAAGTGTTAGAACGCCAGCCTTGGGTAGAAACAGCTAAGGGAGAACACCTAACACCTGCACACCCTACCCCGAGGACCTGGAGTAAAGCATGAAACCGCAGCTAACTGTAAAGATGTCAAGAGAACCCCCACCCCTCCCCCTGGAAAGGTCACAGGCCTCTCGGGGCCATAAACTC